CTGGTTTTGTTCCTGAAAAAGAGGAAGAGGAGAAAGTGGAAAAACGAGTAATCTTATCTTTCTGTCCCTCCTGGAATTCGGAAAAAAAGGAAAAGCAACTCCCTTAAGAAGACTTGTGCCTTGAAGTTAATATATTGGGAAGATGGATCAAGAATCAGAGACAGGGCTCTGTTATGGGAAGATCCCTCTCAGCGACCCCTTTGCTTCCAGCAATTGGGAGGGGGGAGCTCCTTCACAAAGAGATGAGACCCTCTTCTACTAGCCCCTTAGAAAACACATGTGCCCTTTCATTATGGCACACCTACATCCTTCTCCATGTCCAAGGAGGATTCTACTATTAGAAGAATTTACTTGGTCTGAATTTGAGCTGGCTCACAAATAAACATATAATGTACAATAAACACAAATGGGCAGCTTCTAGACGTTATTCATTCAGCCATGTACAATAGTTGTCTACATTGTTAGGGGTCTACAAGTAGATGTGTATACATAATGACAAACAAAGTTTGATGTTTAGATATACAGACTGAGGTGCTCCTGCCTTGGGCATTGATCCTGAGGTGTGTGTTGGCTGTGTAATTTAGAATGTCGCCCTGAGGTCATTTGAAACCAGAAAGGAAGATCCTCCCTAGGTGTGGATTATTATGAGGGGATCTGGCATTTTCCCTTGAGGGGATTCTTTGGTGGAGCCAATGAGGTGCAAGTCTAGGTTAGGACTGTATGTTTATTCTGAGGTTCCAACAGTTCAGAGAGCTTCTAAAGAGAATTGGGAGTGAAGAGGATTGGGAAATATTAAAAAGACAAAATATTATATTTCCCTGGATGAAAAATTGAGAAGCATGCTCTTGGAGACAGAAACTCAGCCCCAGTTCCCTGCCCCAGCAGATATTTAGTGCCCATTAAGGACTGGGCCAGCCTGTCTGCAAAACAAAAGACCTCAGCTCCAGGGTGTTGGGATTAAGACTCCAGGACAAGATAGGATTATCTATCAACAGAGCTCACCACATGGCACAACCAAGCCCTTCATTACATCATCCAGCAAGGTTCAACCAAACTTGGTTCAGACAAACATGACTCCACATGGGAGTCTGCAACTACAAGGATACATGCCTTTGCCACAGGAACAGGAAGCTCAAGTTCAAAGCCCAAGAGAGGGTATAAGTAACACACTCCACTCCATGTGGTCAGCTATCCAGGACTTCAAACCCATGTGGTCCTGTTCACCATTAAACCATCTTTCCAAGCAGCCTTCATGTTTCCAGTGTCTTTCTCCCCACTTGGAACTGAACCAAGATGGGCATTTCTTCCAACAGGAGCAAATCAAAAGTTGAGGGCTACCTGTACTTTTCTTTGTATGCAATTAAGTCACTGCAGTGTTGGAAGGCTTTTCTATATCCTATTCATTTCTGAATCCTCCTCCTAAATTACCTATATTAAAGGTAGTTGTCCCTTAACGACTGGTTGTTTTAACAACTATTCAAAGTTACGACAGCCACAGAATGGGTTCCTTATGGCCCCATGATGCCGAACCTATGGCACGCATGCCCAATGTGGCACATGAAGCCATGTCGCCTGGCATGCACAGGCTTGCCTGTTTTGTCTTCCAGGTTCCTGGTGTGCATGCGCGCAGGGCGATCAGCTGTCCTTCACACACACGGCGGTGCCGAAAACTGGTTTGTGCATGTGCACTGGCCAGCTGATTGTCGGGTGTGCATGCGTGCTCGAACCCGGAAGTTCGGTCTTTTCAGAGTGCGGTCCTGACGAGCGTGCGCATGTGACGTTTCTGCGCAACCTTTTCGATGACGAAAAGGTTTGCCATCACTGTTATAGCCCATAAAGCACCCTCGGTCATTGTAAATGGTCTGCTGCCATCCCCTAATGATCACATAACTGCATGAATGAGTTTGCTTAATGACCGACGTGCTCACTTAACTGCAGTGAAAAAGGCTGGAAAATTACTTCCGGTCATGTGACTCCCTCAATTTACAACCACAATTCTGGTTATAAGTCAAGGACTACCTGTAATTAATCATAATAAGTATGTTTAAAAAGGCAACATTATGAATATTCACCAAACATTATAATCTTTCCTATCTTTAATCTGCATAAACAAATTGCCTTATACAGGGCCTCTTGCACATTTAAAATGTTTCTATCATTTTGAGAGAAGTTCACAGGCCAGCCAATTTTACACAGGAAACCAACTGTTTGGCTTCAAGTGTAAGCAAATTGCAAGACATATAATTTTATGAAACATTTGAGGAAAAATGCTTTTTAAGAGAATGATTTAAAGTACACAAAAGAATTTATTAAGGAATATTCTAAGACTTAGTTTGAAATACAGATCTGCACAAATGATGAACTTGTAATTGCTAAAATGTACAAAGTTTTATTGAAATTCGAAATGGAAGAACAAGTGAAAAAACATATGATAAAAGTGGGCTAAAAATATTGGTTATAATATAGATGAGGGGAAAATATGGTATAAAGAATTGAAATTTACATTGTTATAATATTATTTTTGTAAGAAAATGTATCATTGGTATGTCACCAGAAATTGTTTAGAATATATGAAGGCACTTCATTATGTTGGAAATCTGAAGAACAAATGAAGGACATTTTATCATCTTTGGTGGACACGTAAGAAATCTAGAAAATTTTGGATCCATATACATATACTAATTCAGAAGTTTTTAACAATTAATACACAACAAACCAGAGATATTTCTTTTAGGGATGATCTACAAACAGTTGGAAAAAGTCATGGAATTTTACTTTTTGTACATGCTAACTGCTGCAGCACTATTATATACACAAAAATGGAAAATTTTCAGGATTACCTACAGTAGAATGGTTGATGAAAATGATGGAACTTCTGAGATGACCAAATTGACTTCTTTAATCAGAGAAAAGACGTTATCTATATACTACAAAATCTCTCGTGTCGGTAACCTGTAACTGGTCAAAATGGTGCATTGTAGGACAAAACTTTTTAAACCAAGGTTCCCCAAATGAGCTAATTTACAGAATGCATTCAAAATCCAGGCGCCTGTGGGATTGAAATTTGGAAAATTTGTGGTTGCATCAGTGTTGCCCCTTTGCCATCTACAAATTTAGTCTTCTGGATGCCAGATAAACTGGCCCCACCATTGATTGCTGGAGGGCAGTCAGACGCAGTTAAGCTAGCAGGAAGTTGCAAATCACACCCACTGCTTTTTTGCCCATAGTTTTGTCATTCAGTTTCTGTGTTTAGGTAAGAAAATTTCTCTGAAATTATGACACGACCGATAAGTCTAAAAAAAGGGTAAAGGTTTCTCTGTCCAGTCATGATCAACTCTAGGGCGAGGTACCCATCTGTTTCTTGGCCGAGAGAATCAGTGTTGTCCGAATACATTTTCCGTGGTCATGTGGCCAGCATGGCTATATGCAGGGGTGGGTTCCACTTACCTTTACTACTGGTTTGCAGTGGGAGCACGCATGCTTCTGTGCATGCGCAGATCACCCATGACGACGTTGTAGGGGGTGGGCGGAGCCTGCCGGTTTTACTACCGGTTCTATAGAATTGGACCGAACCGGAAGCAACCCACCACTGGCTACATATATGCCAAAAGCGCATGGAACGCTGTTACTTCCCACCGAAGTGGTATCTATTAATCTACTTGCAGTTGCATACTTTCAAACTGCTAGGTGGGCAGGAGCTGGGGCAATCAATGGGAGCTCACCCCTATTGTGCAACGATTGGGTCTCGAACACTGGCTGTCAGTTTTCCAGCTGACAAGCTCAGTGTCTTTAACCACTGAGTAATCACACCCATTTTAAGTCTTACTACTAAAACTCTCGTGTCTGATATTTTGTAACCTTCAACTGGGTGAAATGCTGCATCACAGGCCAAAACTTTGTCAACAAAGATCCCTCAAATGGGATAACTTGCAGAATGCCAGGACCCATTACTTCCAAGGGAATGAAATTTCGGATTTTTTTTTTTTGCCATTTAGTGCCATTATGCTACTGTTCAGTGCTGCCATGGTCAGCTGTGGTAAGATGATGTTCCTTTTCAATATTCCGACAGCTTCCTACAAGTCCACAGGGAGCTTGGAAGGAACGTATATGATAGCTGACATTCCTTGTCACCTTCCCACTAGCTTTTTGCTAGTGGGAAACTTCCAAGTTTTTGCTTACTAGAAGCTTGCAGGGAGATCAATGGAAAAATGATGCACCCTCCCTCAGTTCCTCTGCACTTCCACAGCTGTTGGCCTCATACACTGCCTCACTCCTGTCCCCATCAGACAGCACCCACTTACCAACATGATAGGAAGAAGGGAAGGAAGGAGGGAGAATAGGGAGGAAAAAAGAGGAAGCTACTCCTTTGTATCTTTTTTTCAATTTTTCTTTTACTTTGTTCTGTTCTTGCACTTTTAACTTTCTCTTTGATTTATTTTCTATTTTTTTTAATAAAATCTTTCATAAAATTGTACGTATAAAATAATTGATACATTGCTTGGGAAGAAAAAAAAGAAATTCAAACCAGAATCAAACCTATCATCTGAGAGTTCATACTGTTCATACCGCTTGAAAATCAAATTTTTATTTCCTCCTGAGCACAAAGAGTTTTTGAAAGATAGGATATTACTTACCCTCAAAAGCCAGGCGTGATCACAAATAAATTAGTAGTGAATTGGGGTATACAAATACCTCTTTTGGAGGAAAACTAAAATGAATTGTCACACGCGTCAATAATTTTTTCCATGCATTCATGGATGTTCAGATCAGATCCACCCTGTCTTATATTTTTTGAACCCTGAAATAAGCACTTGGCCTTATTGCCATGCGCTCAAAAGCCCAATTGGGCTTATTATCAGGGGATGTCTTATTTTGGGGGAAACAGGATAGTTAATCTTCACTGTGGATTTTTTGATGGGAAATAAGGTGAGAACTTTGAGTGAAACCCTTTCCACATGCCAGGCACTTATATTTCCGCTGTCCCGTGTGGATCCTTTTATGGGAAGCAAGATTGCTGGAGTGGTTGAAACTCTTTCCACACTCTACACAGTGATAGGGTTTTTCTCCTGTGTGGATCCTTTTGTGGGAAGTGAGGGTGCTAGGATGACTGAAACTCTTTCCACACTCTGTGCATTGATAGGGTTTCTCTCCTGTGTGGGTCCTTTTGTGGGAAGTGAGGGTGCTAGGATGATTGAAGCTCTTCCCACAGTCCATGCACTGATACGGTTTCTCCCCTGTATGGACCGCTTTATGGAAAGCAAAGGTGCTAGAAAGATTGAAGCTCTTTCCACAGTCCGGGCATTGATAGGGTTTTTCCCCCGTGTGAATTCTTTTATGGGAAGTAAGATAACTGCTTGTCCTGAAGCTACTTCCACATTCTATGCATTTATACGGCTTCTCGCCTGTGTGGATCCTTTTGTGGGAAGTTAAAGAACTGTTTGTTCTGAAGCTCTTTCCACATTCCACACATTTATATGATTTCTCTCCTGTGTGGATGGTTTTATGGGAAGTAAGTGTATTATAGTGAGTGAAGCTCTTTCTGCACTCCTTGCACTGATGTGGTTTCTCTCCTGTGTGGATTCTTTTATGGGAAGTAAGATCTGTGCTCCTTATGAAGCTCTTTCCACAATCCGTGCATTTATGCGGTTTCTCCTTTTTGTGGATACTCTTATGAGTACTCAGATTACTAGAGTGACTGTAGCTCTTTCCACACTCTTTGCATTTATAGGGTTTCTCCCCTGTGTGGATCCTTTTATGGGCAGTAAGATCTGTACTCTTTGTAAATCTCTTTCCACATTCTGAGCATTCATATGGTTTCTCCCCTGTGTGGATTCTGATATGGTTGACAAGTTTGTCATTCCTTGTGAAGCTCTTTCCACACTCTGTGCATTTATATGGCTTCTCCCCTGTGTGAACTCTAATGTGTGCGATAAGTTTATCGTTCCTTGTGAAGCACTTTCCACACTCTGTGCATTTGTATGGTTTCTCCCCTGTATGACTTCTTAAATGGGTGATAAGTCTATCATTCCTTGCAAAGCTCCTTCCACAAACTATACATTTGTATGGATTATCTTCGATGTGGTTCATTTCATGGGAAATAGGCTTGTGGAGGTAGTTGAAGTTGTTTTCATAATCCTTACATTCTAATATTTTTTTTCTCCATCTCATCCCCCCAATAAGATGGGGAATTCTGATCATACCGGTTCCTTTCCTGTGTCCATTCACATGGTTGAGTGAAGTTCGATTGTTCTTCAAATATTTTATCAAAGTTTAAATACTGCCCCATCCTTTCTCTATTAAGTTCTTCTTGGGTCAGCAAATCATAGATTTCCAGACATAAAGGGGGAGGATTTATTTCCTGTTGATCCTTTAATTGGATTCCATCTTCACTTATTCGTTGCCATTGATTTTGGAAGGTTTCTTCTCCCACTTTAACCTTAAAAACCTGTAAAGGCTTGTCTTCTGGTTCCTGGTAAATCTCATTCTTTCGCTCATTATCTGATGGAGAGAGAGAAAAAAACCATGGAAAAAAATTATTCCTTCTCTTTCTCATAGAGAAGACTCATGAAAATACTAAGGACAACCAAGAAATCGAACAACACAAACAATCATATTCAAATTATCCTACTTCAGACATATGTAAAGACCTGGGTCTCTGGAGAAAGCTCTAATGTTGGAAAGTTGGAAGGCCAGTCTTCTTCGCATGAAGAACCACCATAATAAGTTGGATTTACTTACAGTGGCAATGAATGTAGTGCCGTGAACCGTGATAATGCAGTGGTTAGAATGAGTACTTCAGGCTACTTTTGCTGACTGCCGACTGCCTGCAGTTCGGCAGTTCGATCCTGACCTGCTCAAAGTTGATTCAGCCTTCCATCCTTCCGAGGTCGGTAAAATGAGGACCCAGACTGTTGGGGGCAATATTGGTGACTCTGTAAACCACTTAGAGAGGGCTGTAAAGTGGTATATAAATCTAAGTGCTATTGTTATTGCTGTAAGATCTCAAAACCCAGATCATCCTGGAGAAAATCTATGTGTTCTTAGTCAATCAATCAATCCCATGTTTACATTTAATGGAGGAATCCTGAGTTCTAATACTCCGAGCAAGCACAACATTTAAAAAAAAAAAAATGTTCTATGCAGTGCATTGTTTTGTATCCCCCATCATGAATCCATGGACACATGTTTGCTCCAAATTAAAGAATCAAAATCACTATCAACTTTCACCTCTTCACAAGGTGCCTGCCGGAATATGAGGCCATTTATGTCTCAGGAGGAAACACCTGTGTACAACCTGGAGAAGAAGGCCTTATACATCCAGCAGCTACCATGCTGGCTATGCTTGGCTAGCAGTGTAAGCAAGAAGACAGCAAAGGTGATCTAGAAAGGCAGGGGCCAACAGAGTACAATGGGCCAAAAAGATATAGAGGGGAGATAACTATGTGTGGGGGAACTGAAGTGTTCCTGGGGTTGTGGATTTTGATTGTGGGATTGTGGGAGCAGAACCATGGCCATAATTTTGGGGACTGGTTGAATGTACCTTTCTTCAGCACCATTATAACTCTGACAATTGCTGAACAAGTGGTTGTTAAGTGAGGACTACCTCTACTCTCGAGTATGACAGCATGTAGAAAAAAGGAATACATACCTGTGTAGCTTCTGTAAGACTTCCCTTCCTGAAGCTGCTGGCTAGCCTATGCAAAGCTAAATGCACCGCATAGTCAAAGGATTGAACATAGAACATCCAGTATGGAAGATACCTATACTTGAAAGCCAATACAGACCAAGACTAGTGCCTACCACCTCCAACAAATGAGCATCAAATATGAACAGGCAGCACTTTGCAAAGGCTGCCTATTTGAAGCTCACTGTCTGGATTGTAGCTCGCAGGTTCAAGTGGCCAGCCTGGTATCTCAGGTGCAGAATACCTTGTAAGGAACCATACAACATATGGCTTCCAATTACAAAACACCATATTTGGATAGAGGATTTCTTACACAGAGAAGCTACATTCCAGGAGGTCTCCAGCATGACTTCCCCATGCAAAGCTTTCTGTTTGGGATCAAGCAGGTCCCACTCCTCCTTGGTGAAGAAGACAAACAACTCCTTGAAGGATATGGGATCCTGAAAGAGAAAGGAAAAATTTCTTAGTAATAGAAAGACTGAGGAAAGTAAAGTTTTCTCAGAAACCCCTGAAGCAGTTAAATTCGCAAATGTTTTCCTGGCTGTCCCAAAGATGCTTTTTCAAGAGGCAACTGGACTTCCTTATTTTTCTTTGAAGACGTTTTGCTCCTCATCCAAGAAGCTTCTTCAGCTCTGACTGAAAGGAGAGGAATGGAACGAGTCATACTCCTTGCAGAAAATTGGTCAATTTGCATTCTTTTTAGACAGTTGTTGAGGCCATCTGGAGATTTATCTGTGTCACCAGGTTCCCCAGATTTGCAGTAGTGCAAATGGGTGTGGAGCCTTCTTGGAAGTGCTGAAAGGACTGTGTTGTAGCAACACAGAAAAAAACTCTTAAGTGGCCTCAATGACTCTCTAAAAGAATGCAAATGACCAGCTATCTGCAAGGAGTATAAATCCTTCCATTTCCCTCCATCCAGTCAGAGCTGAAGAAGCGTCTTGGATGAGAAGCAAAACGTCTTCAAAAGAAAAAAAAGAAAGTCCAGTGTCTCGTGAAAAAGCACCTGTGGGACAACTAAGACATGGTTGACTGAGACTCTCCAGAGATGTTTTCCTGACTGGTTTCAGAATGCGAGAGTACAGGGAATGATTTCATTCTCCATTATCTTTTGGCACCACCTTGGTCCCCAAAGGTTGATTAAATTCACTGCATCTCCTAGGACTCAGTGCCTCTGAATGCCCAAATCACAAACTCATTCTTGAGCCATCAATTCCAGCTCTGCCTTCCATCCTCCAGAACTGCTCCAGCTCTATCCTTTTATTGGAAAGTAGCTGACCAAGATAAGGACAAGCCAAGATAAGAATAAGAATGTCCAGAATTGAAAAGGGTCTCACATTGGAACAGAAGTTGAATGGGGAGTGGGGTGGGGGGGAGGATGGACTGAATACTTCTTGCCTTAATCTTATTTGTACATTTTGGGGCACAGGAAATTTTCCTCCTACCTGCCCTGGAAGCCCAACATCGGTCTCTGCTTCACAAGAAAGAGGAGATGTTTCTCCTACCACCACCTGGTATATGACTCTGTTCTCTGCAACCAAAAGATGGAGGAAATTGATTTTTTTTTTTAAAAAAAGAATTCTTTATAAATGCAGGGGTAAAATAGAAACAAATATCACAGGGCCATTTGTTTACAAGAACAGGAATGAAAACCGTTTGAGGAAGAACTTCACTGCATCAGAAGGAATCCTCCCTTACCTGGTGACAAGTCCTGATTTAGATCCTTTGGAGAGATTCCTCCAAGGAAATCGTCCTGACAAAGATTTACTGGATCCCTTCTTGCCTCAGGAAACTCAGTGATTAACCCCAAGAAAGATGCCTCTACCTGCAACTGTGGAGAGCAGCAAAGAAGGGTGTGAAGTGCATGTGGGAACACAGAACCACCCCGATTCAAAAGCATTTGGGTAGCGTCATATAAAAATACCCCAAATATTTAAGGCTGGATTAATTCGCCTCACCCACCCCCCTTGAAACCGACCTGCATCTCTCCTTGGTCCTTCTCCTCTGCCTGGTTTAGGAGGAATCCTTCAGCCAGGGCCACTGCCTGGGAACTGGTCTCAGGTTCGCATTCTCGCACCCAGTTCCCCATTTGCGGTGGCATAATGGCTAGGAACTGCTCCAGGACCACCATGTCCAGTATCTGGGCTTTTGTGTGCTTTTCTGGATTCAGCCATCGATTGCAAAAGTGATGCAGGCGGCTGCAGAGTCCTCGGGGGCCCTCAGCATCCTGATAACTGAGCTCCCTAAAAGGTTGTCTATTTGCATGGAAACTGACTGTTTCTTCATTCTGGATCTTCAATATGGCCTTTTCTTGAATTATCGCACTGCCTTCCACATGAAGAGAACCACAAAGTGCCGGTCCTTCCGAAGCCGCTCTTCCTCTGTTCATTTTCCCTCTGGGCTCAACTGTAATTCCTCAAAAGCGGAAGTCTTTAAAGCTTCTTTCGTTCTCAGGTGTACAATTTTATTCTTTCGTTCTCAGGACAAATTTATAAAAATTGTAAGGATGAATTTAAGAAGGCCACTGATTCATCTTTACCACTTGACTCTTCTTGCCTTTGTAAAGGGAAGACTTTTAAAGGCACAAACTGCCTCATATTCCCAACCTACAATGCAAATAATGGAAAAGACCATCAATATATTGTCCCAAAGGTGCTTTTTTTCAAAAGGCAACTGGACTTTCTTTGTTTTTGCTTGAAAATGTTTTGCTTCTCATCATAAGAAGCTATTGAAGAACTGAAGAAGCTTCTTGGATGACAAGCGAAATGTCTTGAAGCAAAAACAAAGTAATTCCAGTTGCCTTTTTCAAAACAAAAAGGGACAACCAAAACTTGGATGACTGAGAATCTCCAGACATCATTTGAAACTCCCTTCCAAGTAATTCCTTGTTGGTAATCTCCTGCCTTTCATGTCATCCCTTGAAGCCACTGTGAAGATAGAATATTCAAGGGTATTTTTCTCTCAGATTGTTGGGGCTATTGGGCAGATCCAGCAGAGCAACTTCCCCAGCTCAGCCATCTTCCTGCTTGGAGCAGCCTCGAGGCCCGAAGTGGTGCTCCAGAGAGGCAGGAGAACTGCAGTATTAGATAACTTTTATTATCACTTTTTTTGGTGAATACACTGCCATACATTAAACAGTGAAAATTCTGATGCCCACTCTCTAAATATTATTTATCCTGCAAGCCCTGGTGCCCCTTCCCTGCCAGAGTCCCCCCCCCAGCTCTGTTGATCCAGGAAAGGAGCTCCAATACTGTAATTAATGTGTATGTATATATACATATACATACACACACACACATAGTAAGGGACGCGGTGGCTGAGTGGCTAAAACGCTGAGCTGGTCGATCAAAAGGTCAGCAGTTCAGCGGTTCGAATCCCTAGTGTCACATAACTGGGTGAGCTCCCTTCTGCCAACCTAGCAGTTCGAAAGCATGTAAAAAATGCAAGTAGAAAAATAGGGACCACCTTTGGTGGGAAGGTAACAGAATTCCGTGCACCTTTGGTCTTTAGTCATGCCCGCCACATGACCACGGAGACATCTTCGGACAGCGCTGGCTCTTCAACTTTGAAACGGAGATGAGCACTTCCCCCTAGTCAGAACAACACGTGTGAGGGGAACCTTTACCTTTACCTTATATACATATGTGTGTATATACACACACGAGTATACATATATACATATGTATATATGTATGTATATGTATATACCAGTATGTGTGTGTGTGTGTGTTTGTGAGTGAATAGGCACACACACACACATATATATGCATATACACACATACACACAATGTACACACACACACATTAATCACAGTATTGGAGATCCTTTTCTGAATCTAAAGCGGGGGGGAGGTGGGGACTCTAGCAGGGAAGGGACACCAGGTCTCGCGTGCATCACAGGGCGAGCTATTTCCCCCTCCCCCTCCCCGGGAGGAGGTACAGTCACTCCGCATTGAGCGAGCAGAGAGGGAGAGGCAGCCTGTTTGCTCCGCCAGGACTAGAGGAGGTCCCCGGATATCCAGAGCGAACCCCGAATCCAGGACTCACCTGCACCAGCCACCCCTAAAGAATCCAGGAGACCCTCCTGCTTCCGGCTCCGCCCGCGTCCAGCCTCCAGCAGGACAGGCAGCCGAGCCCTCCAACCGCCTGGTAGGTAGGCGGGCCGCTTTCTCGTCTAGGATCCCGCCTCCCACAGCCGCGCCGGGATTGGCCGAGGGGGAGGACGATTGGCCAATAGGAATGCAGAGCGGTTGAAGGCGTCTGCGGTTGCTGTGCAGACTAAACTGCCTGCCGCCCTCCCGAAGTTTTTTCATCCTGGCTCGCTTCTTCTCTCGGCCGCGGGAAGTTCGCTCCCCGCAGCTCCCTCAGACCGAGAGGCTTTCTAAACCCGCTCAAAGGAGGCCGGATGGAGTGGAAGCCAAGGTCTCATTCGAAGGGTGACGCTAGAAGTTGGGGAGCAGGAAAAAGGACTCAGCAGGGGAGAAGCAGAAGAGCTTCAAGGAGTTTGAGGGGGAAAATTGTCCGAAGACGCGTCGTTTGGGAACGCTGAGGGGAGAAGAGCTTGACCCGGGACAGATTCTGGCCTAAAAACGAACCAATAGCCAATATGGCCATCAACTATTGGTCAGTACACAAGGCGGTGGTAGAAATGGAGTTTCCCTCAAAATTTTCCCTCATAAAAAATAAGAGGGAGAAGGGAGGCATTTGTAAAAGTGCTCAAACTGAAAAAGAGAATGGCCGAACCTAAGATCCTGGCCTAACAATGAACCAAGAGGCCAATATGGCCATCAACTATTGGTCAATACATAGGCGGTGGTAGAAATGGAGTTTCCCTCAAAATTTTCCCTCATAAAAGCAATGAAGGAGAAGGGAGGCATCTGTAAAAGTGCTCAAACTGAAAAAGGGAGCGGCCAAACCTAAGATCCTGACCTAACAATGAACCAACAGGCCAATATGGCCATCAACTATTGGTCAGTGGACAAGGTGGTGGTAGAAATTGAGTTTCCCTCAAAATTTTCCTTCATAAAAACAATGAGGGGGAAGGGAGGCATATGTAAATGTGCTCAAACTGAAAGAGAATGACAGTGTGTAAAATCTTGACCTAACAATGAACCAGTAGTCCAATATGGCTACCAGACGTTGGTCAAAGGACCAGGGAATGAAAGTGTTGGAGCAGAGAGATTTCCTCCTGAATCTGTTGATGAAGGAAAGGAGGAATATTTAGAAGTATGTGCAATCTAGGTTTCCACTTAGATATGAGCCAGCATTGTGCTGCCAAAAAAAGCCAACACACTCCTAAACTGCATCAACAGGGACTGTATCAAGATGAAGTGATATCACCACTTTCACTTATACTGCACTAGAAAGGTCACACTTGGAATATTGCATCCACTTCTGGTCACCACAATACAAAAAAGATGCTGAGGCCCTAAAAAGAGTACAGATAACAACAAAAATGATATGGTGACTGGAAGCTAAATGGTATGAATGGTTAAGGGAACTACATATGTCTAACAAAAAGAAGGTCTAGGGGTGATATGACAGCAATCTTCCAGTACCCAAGGGCCACCAAAGAGAAGGGGTCAACTTACTGTCCAAAGCATCTTAGTACAGGACAAGATGGATGCTCATAAAAGAGAGATCCAACCTAGAACTAAGGAGAAATTTCCTGACTGTGAGAACAATCCAATGGTGGGATTCAAATTTTTTTATTACTGGTTCTGTGGATATGGCTTGGTAGGTGTGGCATGGCTTGTGGGTGTGGCTTGGTGGGCATGGTTTGGTGGGCGTGGCAGGGGAAGGATACTGTAAAATCTCCATTCCCACCCCACTCCAGGGGAAGGATACTGCAAAATCCTAATTTCCTCCTGATCAACTGGGACTCTGGAGGCAGAGAATAGATGGGGGCGGGGCCAATCAGAAGTGGTATTTACCAGTTCTCCAAACTACTCAAAATTTCCACTTCCGGTTCTCCAGAACTGGTCAAAACCTGCTGAATACCACCTCTGGAACAATCAGTGGAACAGCTTGCCTCCTGTGTCCAGTTCTGGAGACCTCATTGTAAAAAGATATTGTTAAGATTCAGCAAGGGGCAACAAAAATGGTGCAAGGTCAGAGAGGCAAAACTTATCAGAAGAGATTGGAGGAACTAAATATGTACATCCTGGAGGACAGAAGGGAAAGTGGGGACATAACGGAAACCTTTAAATATATTAAGGGTGTGAGTAAGGTTCTAGAAGTCAGTATTTTCAATATTAAGCAAAAATCAAGAACACGGGGGTGGGGGAACCAACTTCCAGCGGAGGTAGTGTGTCAGTCGTAAGTAATTGAGTTTAAACATGCTTGAGATAGAATACAGAGTTGGAAGGGACCTTGTAGGTCATCTAGTCCAACCCCCTGCCCAAACAGGAGACTCTACACCCTTTCTGACATATGGCAGTCCAGTCTCTTGAAAGCCTCCAGTGATGAAGCTCCCACAATTTCTGAAGGCAAACTGTTCCATTGGTTGATTGTTCTGTCAGAAAATTTCTCCCCATTTCCAGGTTGAATCTCTCCTTGATCAGTTTCCATCCATTATTCCTTGTCTGGCCTTCAACTGTTCTTCATATACTGTATTTTAGCCTCCAGTCCCCTAATCATCTTTGTTGCTCTTCTTTGCACTCTTTCTAGAGTCTTAGCATCTTTTTTATAGTGTGATGACCAAAACTGGATGCAGTACTCTACGTGTGGTCTTACTAAGGCTTTATAGAGTGGTATTAATACCTCACCTGATCTTGACTATCCCTCTGCTAATGGAATTTAGGAATTTTGCATTGGCTTTTTTTGATTGCTGCCGCACACTGTTGCCTCATATTTGTCTGGTTGTCCACTAAGACTCCAAAATCCCTCTCACAGTTACTGCTATTAAGCCTGGTTTCACCCAGTCTATATATGTACTTTAAAGTATACATAAAGACATGTTCATCTCTCTCCCACCCCCCTCTACACACACTTGTACATGTGTGTGCGCACACACACACACACACAGACACACACAGAAACATACTGTGATATAATGAACACACAGAAAGAAAAATATGTCAGACAATTCTACAATGAAACATATTGAACAAAACAAGTACATATCATATATGTTATAGTAATTGAAAGAAACTGAATATATGGGCAGGGGAAAAAAGTTGGAAAAAGGGAAACATAAAATTCATATATTTTTTATATAACATTAATTTAATCCTTCAACTTATTATTACATCCAGACCATGCAGCAACATATTCTTCCATTGTTTCACTTTTGAAATATGAAGACATTTTTAAAAAATCATCACAACGTATTTTGATTCCAATTCTATGAAGCAGGGAAATATTTGTTTCCATCTATATAAAATAATTTTCCTGGCTTGTGTCACAGGACCTGTGAAGGTGTCACCTTCCATATTTAAAGGGGTTCATTTAGCATCACATTTACATCTTTAATTACTTGATTTTCTTCCAGAACTATATCAACATATAGAATCCAGCCAACATTTAACAATGCTTTCAGATGAACTAAGATTTAATGTTTGAAAAAGTATTTATTTTAATGTTTGAAAAGTATTTTAACATTTTAATGTTGCCTTCATAGTAAATTATCAGATCAGTTGTTGGGCAGAGGGTGAGGAAATAAAGCTCTGCTCGCTGTCCATCTTCCCCAAAAGAGGACAAAATCAGGCAAACCTGCTCTTATAGAATTCTATAGACATTTGGTCATATGCACTTCTCCCAGTGGTAGAAGCCATAGAGTGCTACCAACAAAATCACCAGAGTTAATTTCCCTGGAATATGTAGAGGGAATCAACTTGTTTTCTTCTCAAACGATTTTGAGAAGTTTGTGACGATTGTCAGGTTATTTTGCATTTCCTTTCAAGCCATCTTTACTGTTTGCCGTTAGATGCTCCTTTGTATTCAGATCTGGCCTCAGAATGATAATGTAGCACTTGGGGATGAAGATACAGCCCAACAATCCAGTACTGGAGGCCAAGATGGAGAAGACCTGCACAGCCACCATATACTTCCCTTTGGTACTCAGGTAGGCGGGCACAAAGGACACCCAGACACTGCAGAAGACCAGCATGCTGAAGGTGATCAGCTTGGCTTCATTGAAGGCCCCAGGCAAGTTCCTGGCCAGGAAAGCCACCACAAAGGAAATGGCAGCCAGGAAGCCCATATAGCCCAGGGCAACATAAAACATAGCGACAGAACCTTCGTTGCACTGCAGGACAATCTGCTCGGTTTGAGAATGCATGTCAGCCTCAGGGAATGGGGGAGAAACTCCCAGCCAGATGAGACAGATGACAACTTGGAGACCAGAGCAAGAAAGGACAATGGAGTTGGCTAAAGTCTTTCCCAGCCATCTCCGCACAGCATTCCCAGGTCTTGTGGCCAGGAAAGCCAGCACCACCGTGATTGTTTTGGCTAAGATGGAAGAGACGGCAATGGAGAAGATGACGCTGAAGGATGTTTGCCTGAGAAGACAGGTGGCTGCCCTTGGACGACCAATGAAGAGGAGGGAAGTCAAGAAGGACAACAGAAGAGAGACCAGGAGGATGTAGGAGAGGTCCTGGTTGTTGGCCTTGACTATGGGAGTTTGTAAGAATTTGATGAAGATTGCTAAGATGAAGGCTGTGGCCAAAGATAAGAAGATGGCAAAGGAAGCCAGAATCATTCCCAAGTCTTCTTTGTACGACAAGAAGGTTATATTTTTGGGGATGCATTTGGTTTGGCCTTTATTTTGATGGTGATTTTTTGGACATCTTGTGCACTTCTCTGCATCTGGGGAGAAGACAGGCAAGACCTCAAATATTAATGTTACATGATCATAATAAAACATACCTTTTGATTACTGTCTACAAATAATAAATTATGGCTATGATATTGTACCTCAAAATCCAGGTCTGTAAAGGAAAAAAAAAGATGGGTTGAAAGCTCTCTAGTAAAAATGAGGAAGGAAAACAGCCAAAATCAACAAAGGATGGGCTTGGTGAAGTCAGGAGTGGGAATAAGCTGGCTGGAGTGGAGAGGAAGGTCACAAAAAGGTGAAGAGCTTCCTAAGATTTACCGATACATCATCAGACAGCTTAACCCTCAACATTATACAAATCCAGATCCTGGCAATTGAAAACGCCATTGTCTCACCATACTCCTTTCTCAAAAGTCTGGTGTGCTACTAGGGATCCTTTCTCGAGAACCTGGATGCAGGGGGTAGATATTTATTTCATGACCTAGTAGTGGAATCAGATTCAGCCAGTGGGATCAATTAGATGAGATTTGGTTGAGAAACTTACACAGATACGTTTTGAGAGAGCTGCAGATAGTGCAAAAGACATCTGAGAAAAGAGGGCATACAAAGAATCAAGAAGGTGATTTGTAGGTGAGTGATTTATATCCATTATCTTGATCTTTTGCCTCTTCCTCATCCATGGAGGCCCCTAATTCTAAAGATTTTCAACAAATGTTGATTACAATTCAATTCAGCCTACTATCAGTGATTTACATAGCCCCAGTAAAGCCATACATGTTTCATGGGGTGAGGATGAGGTGACAGAAATTAGTTTTTTATAGAACACTTTCTCTACATTGGTATAAATAGCACCTAGCACTTAGACTTTTAAATCACTTCACAATGTTTTACAGCCCTCTCTAAGCAGTTTAGAGAGTCAGCATGTTGCCCCCAACAATCTGGGTCCTTATTTTACTGACCTGGGAAGGATGGAAGGCTGAGTCAGCCTTGAGCCTGGTGAGATTCAAACTACCAACTGCCAAATTGCAGTCAGCTGGCAGTCAGCAGAATTAACCTGCAGTACTGCATTCTAACCACTGCCCCACCGTGGCTCTTCTCTATAGATATTTTTACTCTGTAGTTTTACGGTAGTTGTTCAGCTTCAGTTAAGTGAATGGTGCCCTTGATGTGTTTGCGTTGTTTATTACCTATTATTTAAATGGCTGATTGTTTTTTTTCACACAATGGGCACTTCCTGAGGAACTGCCCTATGGAGCCCTATTCAGGGACAGTTCTTTCTTCAAGGACTTTCCTATTGTATTCATGGAAGGCATAATACCTTCTCTCAAGAGAGAAGCAGAGTTGAGCCAGTCTTCAACAGACAGGCTCCTACAGACAGAAGTAGACAAGCCATGGTTACTTAATCAGCTTTTCTGCTAAATGTTGCCATATGTACCTGATCAGGTCTAGGACAATTCATTGCCGCCAACTTGCCATGACCAACTTGCCACGGCCAACTTGCTGCGGGACAACTCAGTGCTGTATTAAACATTTCATTTGGTTATTTTTATTATTGGTGACCACATTTTCATCCAAATTATTGTAACTCTCGTTTTTCTGGATTTTTAATTTTATTATTATTGCCCACGGTTCTGTCAAAATTAATTTAATTTTTGTACGGTTGAATTGTCCCTCAGCAAGTTGTCCTGCGAAGAGTTGGTCATGGGGAGATGACTGTGATGAATTGTCCCATTCCGTACCAGATTTGGGCTGCATAAATGCAGAAAACAATTCAATATTAAAAAAGATATGCAAAAATGAACTTCTGTCTCGTATTTATCGAGGTTTTCAACCTAGATCTGTTAGTTTTCCTTAGTTTACTTTAATAACTGGCTTTTTGCCATCACTCATGAGACTCTTTGTTCACAGGTTTGCCTCCAAATATCCCTGAATGGAAATGCTTCATGGACTGTTCTCCCTATGTTTCAAGAACTGCCTCCCTCTCCCCTCGGTGTCTCCTACCTTCCTGAGTGGAGATGGTTCCTTCTGCACACAAGATACACCTGTAGCAGCACAGAGGCCTTCCTTCCAAGACCACCTTGGCTTGGCCAGGGTGACAGTTTGTGGTACACCTGGAGCGAGGAAGGGACTGAGAAGAAGCAGCATCAGTCAAAGATGGTTGGGTGTTGCCACCGTCATGAGACATTCATCTTTTTAACAGGTCTGCTCATCCCTACCCTTTTTTTCTTTCTAGGAAGAGGTTACATTGGATTGTTTTTTTTTTTTAGGACATGGCTAACTAAGTGGAGACAGTTGGTACTTTTGCTGGAAGTCTTCAAAGAGAACCTGGATAATTACCTGTCAAAGATGATTTACTGAATCCTGTACTGAGCAGGGGTTTGGAAAAAATGATTTCTCAATTCAGCATTAAATTCAGCAATCAAAGAAGGGGTGGGACTGGGAAAGGAGAATAAATATAAGAGTTGGAAGGGACCTTGGATGTCTTCTAGTCCAACCCCCCATTCAAGCAGGAAATCCTATACCAGGGGAGTCAAACTCGCAGCCCAAGGGCCGGATGCATCACACGCTGGCCATGCCCACCCCCAGTTTAGCGAAGGGGGGAAAAGTCACGATACGTCATGTGATGACAATGTATCACTGTGAGTTTGACACCCCTACTCTATACTATTTCAGACAAATGGTTGTCCAATCTCTTCTTAAAAGCTTCCAGTGTTGGAGCATTTACAGCTTCTGGAGGCAAGTTGTTCCACTGATTAATTGTTCTAACTGTCAGTAAATTTCTCCTTGGTTCTAGATTGCTTCTTTCTTTGATTAGTTTCCATGCATTGCTTCTTGTCCTGTATTGTCCTATATATTGCCTGATATGCAGAAGGATACTTAGCCATCACATGAAAATCAGTGGGGCATCTTGAAGTGGGCAGGAAGGAGATTCTGGGGAAATAGAAGGAGTATTGTCTTCAATGGGACCATTATTAATTTGTGGAATTTTCTCCTAAAGATCTGCTGGGGGACACAGGTTGATGAGACATAATAGCTAGGCCTCAATTCATCTATTCCATGAAACCAAGTACTCTTTAATTATGGTTATTGAATTCATCATGGTTAGCTAATTGTGTAAAATTGTCAGTGTGGGGCAGAGGCTAATATATTTTAATAGGACTGAGAAGGGGGAAGTTCAAACCTACACAAGGACATTTCTTGAGAAAAGTTGGAATCTAAGCCAAATAATGTCTACCTTGGCTTATAAACCCAATAATTAGGCCTGTCAATGAATTAATCTAAATCAAATCAACCATTTTATGCTGTGGTGAAATCCAATTTTTTTTACTACTGGTTCTGTGAGTGTGGCTTGGTGGGCGTGGCTTGATGGGCATGGCAGGGGAAGGATACTGCAAAATCTCCAATCTCACCCCACTCCAGGGGAAGGATATTGCAAAATCTCCATTCCCACCCAACTCTGGGGCCAGCCAGTGGTGGTATTTGCCGGTTCTCTGAACTACTCAAAATTTCCGCTGTCAGTTCTCCGAACTGCTCAAAATTTCCACTGCCGGTTCTCCAGAACCTGTCAGAACCTGCTGGATTTCACCCCTGATCTTATGGCTCTGAAGTGTGAATTCAGCATACTGTGTATTTCTTCCAGGATTAAATGTTATAGGATTCTCAGTTCTACATCCTGACCTTTGGAATCACGTAACTTTGCTGTTTTAACTACAACTCAGCCAAGACAGGCAGTTTTGTTCTTAAGCTGCTGATAGCAGTCATCCGATCACAGCTTGCTTTATAAAGAAAAACAGAAGGAAGAAGATCCAAGTAGTATCTGGATAAACCACATACACTTCTTGACTAAAGTTTCCCGTTCTGTGATCCATGCCCCCCCCCTCTCTTTTTTTTTAATCCAAGGAGCCCAACAACATCTTTGAGAAAGAAGAAGATCCCAAGCAACCCTTCATCCCAGCTCCAGCAACTCTCTATCCACTTCACAACTAGTTGGAAGAATGAAAGAAAGGTTGGAGGGCATCAGATGAGCAGCCTCAGCTAACCTGGTTAAACCGCTGGGTCCAATTCACGGCCTCCTGGTCAAGAATGAAATCCAGCTCTTTGGACCTCCATGGTCTGTCTATCCACCCAAACTGCACAGCCCGAAAGGACTTATTAGGAAAGAGCACCCAGTTCATGGCATCAAATTTGGCAGCGAGGTCCCCTTTCCCATCCAGATACACTCCACCCATGCAAGTATTGTAGAAGTGGGAATCTCCCAGGAAAGGATGAAGCTGCAATGGCAGAAAAAACAACAACATGAAGGAAGAGGATGTTTTACAAGTACAGTTGGATTCTGCTATGAAGCTCTCTGTAAGTGATGGGTGTGGTCAGAGAGATGGAAGGCAAATTTCAGCCACTCCTTGCCTCTAAGATAAAAGAATAACAGAGTTGGAAGGGACCTTGGAGATCTTCTAGTCTAAATCCCCACTCAAGCAGGAAACTCTATACCATTTCAGACAAATGGTTGTCCAATCGCTTCTTAAAAACTTCCAGTGTTGAAGCACCCACAACTTTTAGAGATCAGCTGTTACACTGATTACCGTAATTCTTCTCATTGTCAGGAAATTTCTCCTTAGTTCTAGGTTGCTTCTCTCCTTGATTAGTTTCCACCCATTGCTTCTTGTTCTGCCTTCAGGTCAGAGGTGGTATTCAGCAGGTTCTGACCAGTTCTGGAGAACCGGTAGTGGAAATTTTGAGTAGTTTGGAGAACCGGTAAATACCACTTCTGACTGGCCCCATCCCTATCTATTCTCTGCCTCCTGATTCACCGGTAATTGGGAGGAAATGGGGATTTTGCAGTAACCTTCCCCTGGACTGGGGAGGGAATGGAGATTTTACAGAATCCTTCCCCTGGAGTGGGGTGGGAATGGAGATTTTACAGTATACTTCCCCTGCCATGCCCACCAAGCCACACCCACCAAGCCATGCCACACTCACCAAGCCATGCCCACAGAACCGGTAGTAAAAAAAATTCAATCCCACTACTACTTCAGGTGCTTTGAAGAATAGCTTGATTCCCTCTTCTTTGTGGCAGCCCTTGAGATGTTGGAATACTGCTACTGATGTTTTAGATGCCCCCAAAGTTGCTTTGCAAAGTGAGATGGGTGACATATGAATTTGATTTTTTTTTGTGAATAAAATATCAATTTAACCATTCCTGCTTTATCTTCCCTGCTATGGAAATAATGTATTTCTATCTGTGCCTAGTAATCTTTGTGAACTGTCACAATTTTATTCAAAGAGGAAAATATGTTTTTATTTGGATATCACTTCCGGATTTGTACTTGTGAAGAAAAAAAATTGAGACTTTGACTTTGGTTTTGTCAATTAGAAAGATTTGTCGTTATAGAAATGGTTAGTTATATATTAACGAGTAAAAGCAAAAGTTGAGGTTGCAGTGTTTTTATCTTGTACTGTACTAAGAGTCGGAAGTCAATGCTTTTTCTTTTCTTTTCTTTTCTTTTTCTCTTTCCCCTTGTATCTCACACCCCATTTTCCCCACTCCCCTTCCTTCCCTTAACTTATTCTATTTAAAATAGAATAGAATTACAGAGTTGGAAGGGACCTCGGAGGTCTTCTAGTCCAATCCCCTGCTTAGGCAGGAAACCCTACACCACTTCAGACAAAAGGTTATCCAACATTTTCTTAAACCCTCCAGTGTCGGAGCATTCACAACTTCTGGAGGCAAGTTGTTCCACTGATTAATTGTTCTAACTGTCAGGAAATTTCTCCTTAGTTCTAGGTTGCTTCTCTCCTTGATTAGTTTGCACCCATTGCTTCTTCTTTTTTTTTTTTTTTTTAATTTGATTTATATGCCGCCCTTCTCCGAAGACTCAGGGCGGCTTACAATGTGCTCAGCAATAGCCTTCATCCTTTTTGTATATTTATACAAAGTCAGCTTATTGCCCCCCACAAACTGGGTCCTCATTTCACCTACCTTAGAAAGGATGGAAGGCTGAGTCAACCTTGAGCCTTGGCGAGATTCGAACCCTGCAGTAATTGCAGGCAGCTGGTCTTAAGCAGCTTAATAACAGGGTGCCTTAAACCCTAGTACTACCAAGGCTCTTGTCCTGCCTTCAGGTGCTATGGAGAATAGGTTAACTCCCTCTTCTTTGTGGCAGCCCCTGAGATATTGGAAGACTTACGCTCCCACGTAACACCTCTCCTGCGCGAGCTGCATTGGCTCCCGGTGGTCTTCCGGATGCGCTTTAAGGTGTTGGTTCTCATCTTTAAAGCGCTCCATGGCTTAGGGCCAGGGTATTTGCGAGACCGCCTGCTGCTACCGATAACCTCCCACCGGCCAATACGCTCTCACAGAGAGGGCCTCCTCAGGGTGCCGTCGGTCAGGCAATGTCGGCTGGCAGCCCCCAGGGGGAGAGCCTTCTCTGTGGGGGCACCGCCCTGTGGAATGAGCTGCCTCCTGGAATACAATTGATCCCGGACCTCCGGACCTTCCGTAAAGCCCTGAAGACATTTTTATTCCATCAAGCCGGCCTAGCCTAAATGGTTTTTAATTGGGATTTTAAATTTTATGGATTTGGGGGTTTTAAATTGGGAAGCCAGTGATTTAATTCTTTTTAATTATCTTAATTTTTGTATTTGTATGTTTTTTAATTTTGGCTGTCCACAGCCCTGAGTCCCTTCTGGGAGAAGGGCGGTATACAAATAAAATAAATAAATAAATAAATAAATAAATAAATAAATAAATAAATAAATAAATAAATAAATAAATAAATAAATAAATAAATAAATAAATAAATAAATAAATAAATAAATAAATAAATAAATAAATAAATAAATAAATAAATAATAAATAAATAAGACTGCTATCATGTCTCTCCTGGTCCTTCTTTTCATTAAACTAGACATACCCAGTTCCTGCAACCATTCTTCATATGTTTTAGCCTCCAGTACCCTAATCATCTTTGTTGGTCTTCTCTGCACTCTTTCTAGAGTCTCCACATCTTTTTTACATTGTGGTGACCAAAACTGGATGCAGTATTCCAAGTGTGGCCTTACCAAGGCATTATAAAGTGGTATTAACATTTGACGTGATCTTGATTCTATCCCTCTGTTAATGTAGCCTAGAACTGTGTCGGCTTTTTTGGCAGCTGCTGCACACTGCTGGCTCATATTTAAATGGTTTTCCACTAGGACTCCAAGATCCCTCTCACAGTTACTACTATTGAACAAGGTATCACATATACTGTACCTGTGCATTTTGCTTTTCTTCCCTAAATGTAGAACCTTCCTTTTTGCCTTCTCTTTTCTATATTTTATATAATAAAACAAAACCATAACAAAAATAAAATAAAATAAAATAAATGAATTTGATTTAAAAAGCAACAACTATTCAGTGATGTAGTAGAATCAAGTCATTGATACCGTGCCATGGAACTCCAGCCCAGGAATCCAAAAAGGGGATGGAGTGGAGGATTTCCTACCCCAGTAACCTCATAAAATGGAAGAAGACAATTGAAAGCTTAACTTCCTCACACAATCTAAAATGTCTTTGAAACCTGAAACTGTGCTTTTAGGATTTCTAAAGGAAACCAAATACCTGCCATGTCTGAAGGACTACCCTGTGATCTCTTTCCCTCTTTGCTTTTTGCTTGGACCTGGATAAGTAGGCATCGTGTAAAGCCCGAGCAAATGCCCAGGCGAGGTTGTAAATACCGTAGCCATCCAGAGAGAATGTTTTTTCCACCACCTCTTCCTGCAGGGTCTCCAATTTCTCATTCTCCTGGCATCTCAGCCTTCCTTTCACAGAAAGGAGGTGTCTGGAATACGAACAATTGAATACCATTTGGCCAAAATTTTGCATAGGGCCAAAAAATGTTTCCGAAACTTGTGGTCTTTTTTCAGTATGGATTAAGAAAGAGAAAAAACCCCGGAGATGCCGAGGAGACAGTATATCATTGGATAAATTCAGAGTGAGGTCCCACATTGCTGTGGTGATCCAAACTTTTGCCAGGATAGGCTTGATGTGCCTTTCAATGAAGGATTGCAAGGCATATATCAAGCTGTATAAGTGACGGGATTCCCCGTAATATATGCAAACGCTGACATTGTTCCACAATTGAAACGGTTCATTGAACAATAGATCCATTTTCCAGGGCAATATGGGGATGTTCACTGAGAAGGCTACACAAATTGTGTTTCTTGTTAAAATGGGCCTCAAAGTTCGGAGAAATCTTTTTCCATTGTCGGTGTCTGGTGCTAGAAGACCGACCCAGTTCCATCCGAAATGGTGGAGCACTTTGGCAATTCCCCAATACAAGTATTCTTCTTTGGGGACCATCCGGTAGATAAATGGGAACTGGGTTTTATCATTCAGAGTTTCAGACACAAAACCATAACTGACCTAGTAAGAAAAAGAAGTGTGGGGGAAAAAAAATTCAGGCCAATGTTTGAAGAATATGATCTTATCAGTTTGAGCAGTTCTTTCTCCCAAGATGCTGGAGTAGTTGGTTTCTGCACTAGGCAGGATGATGAAGTAGACGGTGTCAAACTCAATTCACCTGTTACTACAGCAAGGTGCTAATTTATCTTAAGGTCTGAAATCTTGCAAGCTCCTACCAAAATAAATTAAGAGAATAATCCTGAAGCCCAGCTAATACAAGTCAGTTAAAATATTTACATAAGTGCTTTCAAACTGAATGGGAAGAAATATTTTACTGGACCAGTTGCCGTAGAAATTGCACAAATACAGCTGTAATATAGATATAGCTGACTTCTAAACCTGGAGGCTAAAATATATGAAGAACGGTTGCAGGAACTGGGCATGACTAGTCTAATGAGAAGAGGAACTAGGGATGACATGATAGCAGTGTTCCAATATCTTTTTTTTAACGGTTTATGTATATATTTTCACATTACATACATAAGTGCTTAGTGAACAACATATTGTCTGGATCAATTTATTTATTATATAATAATACTTTTCCCACTCCTATACTTTTCTTTTCTTTTTAGTGTTAATCTGTCCATTTCTGCACAATCTAATTTTTTTAAACAAATTACATCATTCTCTGTAGGTGTTTCCTCATTTTTCCAGTACAAATGTGCAAATACAATTCTTGCTGCTGTCAAAATATGTAATATTAAGTATACGTTCCCTTTATCATACTTTTTAAGTATTATGCCTAGCAAAAATATCATCCTATGTGGTGGACATGTGTAAAAGCAAAGAAATATTGGGCAAAAATATATACATGGTTGGAAAAAATGTTAAAGCAACATATAGATTATAAGCAATGTTCCAATATCTCAGGGGCTGCCACAAAGAAGAGGGCGTCAACCTATTCTCCAAAGCACCTGAAGGCAGGACAAGAAGCAATGGATGGAAACTAATCAAGGAGAGAAGCAACCTAGAACTAAGGAGAAATTTCCTGACAGTGAGAACAATTAATCGGTGGAATGACTTGCCTCCAGAAGTTGTGGGTGCTATCCAACACTGGAGGTTTTTAAGAAGAGATTGGACAACCATTTATCTGAAATGGTATGGGCTTTCCTGCCTGAGTAGGGGGTTGGACTAGAAGACTCCAAGATCCCATCCAACTCTTTATTCTGTTAACTGGCACCTCTTTAGAAACAATGAAAGAATGAATAGTGTAGGACAAGAACATTCTAACGTTCATTCTGTGCATTTTGCCTCTCATATCAGACTTCCAGTTTAAAAAAAAAAAAAGATTTTCACGTTCACCTTACAAGCTATGAATTGGAAGAGTTTGCTAATGGTAAGAGGAGTTCCACAATGGAACCGATTGCCTTGTGAGTTGGTAAACTCTTCTTTGCTGGAGCGGTCTTGAAGAGACTAGACAGTAATGTTTTGGGAATGCCAAAAGTGGATTCTTGTGTACGGCAGCAGAGGCTGGGAAAGAAGATCGCCAAGACCTTCCCTTCTTTGCTTCTGAAATTCAAACTGATAACTTCTCAAGGTCTACCCAAGGAATGAAAATGAGGAAATGAGCATCCTTTTCTTTTGAAGTATAAAACCCGGTGATAACACAATCTGTTTGGTGTCCCACACTGACACCAAATAGCACCATGTCGATTGGAGCAACACAAAAATCATCGGCCACGCTATCACCCGCCATGTTCATGAGTTCATCAAAGCCCGGCATTCCACAAGCAATGCCATCAACAGACACATTGACCTACAACCAGCCTACAAATCCCTCTGCACAGCCAATCAACTGCATCCAAATCAACTGCACAGCCAATTCAGAGACCGCACCAACCCTCAACCAACCAATGCAACCTTCTCCCACCAGCAATTCACCTCCCAATGTCCCTGACCTGATGTAATCTCCTTATCACAAGACCCATTACAAAGACCCATCACAAGACTCACTGATGACTCACAGTAGGTCCATTAAAAGACCCTCACTTGACACACCCACACCTGAAGTCCTTATAAACAGAAGAACATAGACACTGACATCCCCTAAACTCCACTGAAGATGTTACCTAGGTTGGTAATGAGATGTTCAGGAATGAACCCACAAGCTCAGAGAATGAACCTTCACCCTCGTCCTACAGATGTTTGCCACTATTGCAAACTTGATCTCCATTGCCCTGTCAGGTTTAACTATCCTTCAACCTGCTGTTTCAATGGTCATGGCATATTCCTGGGCAGGACACATCAGTGGTGGGTTGCTACCGATTCACCCTGGTTTGGGCGAACCGGTAGCAGAGGCAGCGGGAGGCTCTGCCTATCTGCTCGGACGTCATCAAATATGATCAGCTTCTGCGCAGAAGCTTTTGCGCATGTGCAGAAATGGCATGCGCGCAAGTGAAGCGCGTGTGCATGCGCACGAACTGATAGCAAAGGTAAGTGAAACCTGCCACTGGGACACATCCAGGTTTGGCTTTTCTCCCCATCTCCATTCATACCTGTGGCATCTTGTAGAGATTCAACATGGTGGAAATCTGCTTGGAAATGTCGGACTCGGTCCCTTCAATCACAGCCAGCAGCCTCTTCTCTCTTCCACAAATGTAGTTTGGAACATTTGCCTGTCCGGTGGAGAGCAAGTCCATCAGGGCATCGGCGGTCAGTCCTGGTTCATAATAGTTCTCGTAGATGTCATAGCCCAGGGTGATATTGGGCAAAACATGGGGATTCCGGTTGATCTCACGAATGGCAAAAACAAAGGACAGAAGGTACCACTGTGCAATATAACCTTTGCTTCAAAACAAAACAAACCCCACAACCACCTTTAATATTCATTATTTTTACAATTCATTCATTCAAGCACAGGATGGATTCGAGACCCTTTCTAACTCTATCCTTGCTACTCTTACTAGAAGTAATAATTATAATACCAATACTACCTGTTGTAGGAACCTGGTATGGATAGTCTAGAGCAAAGAAGGACTAGGGGGTGGTATGATGGCATTATTTCAGTATTTCAGGCTGCCACAAAGATGAGGGGGTCAGCTTGTTTTCCAAAGCACCAGAAGGCAAGAGAAGAAGCAATGGATGGAAATTTATGAAGGAGAGAAGCAACCTGGAATTAAGGAGAAACTTCCTAACAATGAGAGCAATTAATCAGTGGAATAACTTGCACCCAGAAGTCATGGGTGCTCCATCACTGGAGGTTTTTAAGAAGAGACTGGACAGCCATTTCTCTGAAATGATATAGGATCTCCTGCTTGAGCAGGGGGTTGGGATAGAAGACCTCCATGCTCCCTTCCAGCTCTATTCTGATTGAGTGAATAATATGGTCTCAGCCCTTTCTTTACAAAAGAAAAATCAGTAAAACAACGGAAGAATTTTCCTTGAGGGATTGTTCATGGTGGAGGGGAAATTGGGTGCATCTGACAGCAGCTTCCCTGCAAAATAGTACAAAACCCATCCCCAAGATCTACTTACGAAACTGGTTGGTTAAAGAGAGGCTCCTGGAAGGTTGCTACCGCCATTAAGATTGACGTCAGGGAAACAATTCCACCAATATAGAGGTCTCCTGGGCGGTAAAAGTTGTACACCCCATTCTGATCCTTGGTGAAATCAAGGCGGCATTTTCTCCTGCCAGCTGCACTGGGCAATAGAAGCAGAAGCAGAAGCAGGAGGAGAAGGAGCAGCTTAGTTTGTATGGCAGCCATCAGAAGCATTTCAGGGAGGGGTAGCAGTTGGACTAGAAGACCTCCAAGGTCCTTTCCAACTCTGTTGTTCTGTTGTGTTTGTTCTGTTCTGCCTTCAAAAGAGAGAGAGAGAGTCCAACCACAACTTCCCAGGATGGTAGGGAGTTAATTCTGCACCTCAAGTGGGTGCATGTCACTCCGAACACATTGGCTCCAGAGGTAGCATTTATTTGGCATCTGGTTTTCCAGGCAAGATTTATCAAGATGTTGCAGAAGGTTGCTTGCCACGTTCAGGGATTCAGGGATGATGACACTCCCTTGAGGGTTAGAGGAAAGAAAGACCATGATTTTGACAATTACAATGTAGAGCACAACTATTACGCCAGTTTGATCTAGTGGTTAAGGCACCAGGCTAGAAAGCAGGAGACTTTGGGTTCATATCCTGCCTTAGGGATGAAAGCCAGCTGGGTGATTTTGGGCTAGTCTCTCTCTCGCTCTCTCAGCCCAATCCACCTCACAGGGTTGTTGTGGGAAAAAACAGGTGGTGGGAGTATGTTGCATATATTCACTGCCTGAGTTATTTGTAAAAATAATAAATGTGTAATACAAATAAATAAATATCTTGTGACTTCAAAAGCAGATCCAAGAGGGAAGAAAACATGTTTCTGAAACCTCACATTTTTGACGCATGTCCTTTGAGGCAAACACTGTCAAACTATTCAGATTAAGCTGCATTACTATTGCTATTGGTCTTCTCATCGTTCCTGTCACCCATCTCCTCTCACTTGTGACTGCATGACTGTAACTTTGCTGCTTGTATCCTTGTGATTTATATTGATATTGATTGTTTCCTAGTATGATTTGATTGCTTATTGTACCGTATGACTGTCACTGGGTGTTGTGCCTTGTGATTCTTGATGAGTGTATCTTGTCTTTTTATGTACACTGAGAGCGTATGCACCAAAGACAAATTCCTTGTGTGTCCAATCACACTTGGCCAATAAAGAATTCTATTCTATTCTATTCTATTCTATTCTATTCTATTCTATTCTATTCTATTTCTATTCTATTCATTCTATTCTATTCTATTCTATTCTATTCTATTCTATTCTATTCTATCTGGTTTTCTCTATGCCAGTTTGTTGATACTTTTGGTAAAGCAGGAATCGAGGTGATATCCCATCAGTTGACTTACATTTCGGTGTCTGGTGTTCTGCAGAATCTTATTTAATGCTTGCATTTCTTCCTGACTCTTAGCTTCTTCCCATTCTGGATAAATCCTCTAGTGCTTTGGAGAATAAGTCAATCTTCTCTTCCCTGTGAATGCCCTTCATGTCCTGGAAGTTAGTTATCACATCCCCTTGTATTTCTACTGTATTTAATTGCTGTTTCTTTTCTTGATTCATAACCCAGGACGGTAATAAGATCGTAGGTGCGGCTGAGACTGACTTGACGTACACTCACTGGGCAAAATTTGCAGGGGTACTTACCGACTATGAAACCTCTGGTTCAGGAAACACTTTGGCTCAAAACTAAAAATTCCTTTTACTACAGATGTTGATGCAGACAGAGCCTGGGGCACAGTGGTGGGATTCAAATAATTTAACAACCAGTTCTCTGCCCTAATGACCGGCTGGAGGGGCATGGCCATTGTGGGTGTGGCCAGGAGGTGTGACAGGCATCACTCGGCCTCCTGCACCCCCTGGGAGCAAAAACAGGCCACGGGTGGGGGGGGCGCACTGCCCCCCCCGCGCCCCATTTTGGGCCTAGCAGGTTCTCTGCAGCTACCTGGAAGCAAAAACGGCCTGCGGGAGGGCTGCACCGCACCCCCCGTGCCCCGTTTTGGGCCTAGTAAGCCTCTCTGCACTTACCTGGGAGCCAAAATGGGACGTGTGGGGACTCCTGGAAGGGGTGGGATGGGACGGGGTGGGGCCAGCCAGCAATTTAACAACCGGTTCATCCGAACCAGCCCGAACCGGCTGAATCCCACCACTGCTGGGGCAGTACCTGCCACAAATGGTCTGATGCTGGCTGGGAGATGTCCAGGCCATGTCTGTTGACCCAGTGAGTCTTGGAACCTTACCATGGTCCCCAAATTGTTACAAAGTAATCTTACCAGAATTGTTCCCAAGCTGGAAATATAATACCCAGGCAGCTGCTTGAAAGAGAAATGAGGTTTATTTCTAAGAATGCAATATCCAGAGTCAGTTGCCAGAGGCGGCTGTGCCGAGTCTTCCCTGAAAGCCGTTTCTATGGATAAACCTTGCTTTTGTTTCGTGAAGATGAGCAAAAGAATTCTGAGAAAGTATTGAAAGCAGGGTTTATCGGTTTAAGATGCTGAGCTTGTTAGCTGGAAAGATGACAGTCTGGGTTCAAGACCCGAGTGCCATGCGACAAGGTGAGTTCCCGTCACTTGCTCCAGCTCCTGCCCACCTAGCAGTTTAAGAGCAAGCAAATGCAATTAGATAAATAGGTACCACTTTGGTGTGAAGGTAATAGCATTCTGTGTGCCTTGGAATCAGAGACAGTATTTAGCAGGTTCTGACCAGTTCTGGAGAACCAGTAGCGGAAATTTTGAGTAGTTCGGAGAACCGGTAAATACCACCTCTGACTGGCCCCGCCTCCATCTATTCTCTGCCTCCCAAGTCCCAGCTAATTGGGAGGAAATGGGGATTTTGCAGTAACCTTCCCCTGGAGTGGGAGGGAATGGAGATTTTACAGTATCCTTTCCCTGGAGTGAAGTGGGAATGGAGATTTTACAGTATCCTTCCCCTGCCATGTCTACCAAGCTATGCACACTAAGCCAAGCCACGCCCACCAAGCCACACCCACAGAACCGGTAGTAAAAAATTATGTATCCCACCACTGGCCACATGACCATAGAAATGTCTTTGGGCAATGCTGGCTACCTTGGCTAACAGAGATGAGCACCGGCCCTAGAGATGGCTGCAACTGGACAGAAGAAACCTTTACTTTTACTTTACTTTTAGCTGGCATTTGGAGAGGGAATGCTTTGCAGACTGCCGAGTTGCGGTCCCTGCTTGTTTAGCACAGCTAATTTATTTATTTATTTATTTATTTATTTGTTTAAATTTCTATACCGCCCTTCTCCAATGTAGGACTCAGGGCGGTGAACAGCCAAAGTAAAAACAAGACATACATACAAAACATACAAAATCTAAAAACTGTTTAAAATAATTAAATAATTTTGGCCGTAATTAAAACATTCCAATTTAAAATCCGTTTAAAATTTGACTCAAGCCAGCCCAGCTAGTTGAAATAAATGGGTTTTTAGGGCCCGACGAAAAATCCGGAGGTCTGTTATTGTACGTAGCTCTGGGGGGAGGTTGTTCCAGAGGGCGGGCGCCGCCACAGAGAAGGCTCTCCCCCTGGGGGTCGCCAGCCGACATTGTCTGGCGGACGGCACCCTGAGGAGGCCCACTCTGTGGGAGCGTACTGGCCGGTGGGAGGCTATTGGTGGCAGAAGGCGGTCTCGTAAGTACCCCGGCCCTAAGCCATGGAGCGCTTTAAAGGTGGTCACCAACACCTTGAAGCGCACCCGGAAGACCACCGGGAGCCAGTGCAGCTCGCGCAGGAGAGGTGTCACGTGGGAGCGCCTCGTCGCCCCCAAAATCCCCCGCGCGGCCGCGTTCTGGACCAGCTGGAGCCTCCGGGTGCACCCCAGGGGGAGCCCCATGTAGAGAGCGTTGCAGTAGTCCAGGCGGGAAATGACGAGTGCCTGAGTGACTGTGCGTAGGGAGTCCCGATCTAGAAAGGGGCGCAACTGGCGTATCAGGCGAACCTGATAAAAAGCCCCCCTGGCCACGGCCGCCAAATGATCTTCTAACGACAGCCGTGCGTCCAGGAGGACGCCCAAGTTACGAGCCCTCTCCGTGGGGGCGAGTGATTCGCCCCCAATAGCCAGCGATGGCGTCAGCTGGCTATATCGGGACGCCGGAAGCCACAGCCACTCGGTCTTGGAGGGGTTGAGTTGGAGCCTGTTTCTCCCCATCCAGGCCCGCACGGCCTCCAGGCACTGGGACATCACTTTAAGGGCATCATTGGGGTGGCCTGGGGTGGAGATG